TCCAGCAGGGGAGTCAGAGGTCAGCTCATGAGACTGAGTCAGCAAGGGGCTGGAATTAGTCCTATAAGAGAAGGCTCTTTCCGGGAGCAATCTTGCCTCTGAATTCTGAGGATCCAGCTTGGTCAGAATCCTCTTTGGGGGAGGGAAAGAGGCTCTGTGTGCCTCCTCTGACAAGGTCCTTTCCATGTCCCTTTCTCCTTCTTGGGTTCCTGCTTATGTTCTGAATTAAACTCTACAGCTTTGCTCCCCACCCCACCTCCAACGTGCATGTGTGTGTGCATATAGTGTGTGTACACACATAATATGAAAGCAATAGGTCAGGATCTGGAAAGTCAAGAGAGAAGAGAAGAAAGTCCTGGTTCTATCTTATGTTGTACAGCTCTTACATTGAACATGTATTGAGTTGTTTTGAGTGCCTAGTGTGTGCTAAGCACATGTATATTAACTCATTTAATCTTGAGAATATCCCTGTAAGATGGATATTTTGCTTTCCATATTGACAGATAAAGAAAATGAGATTCAAGGAGATTAAGCAATTTGCCCAAAGCCACACAGCTAGTGTGCGTCAGATGCAGGATTTGGATCTAGGTCTGTCTGACTCCAGAGCTCATGCTTATGCCACAACACCCCATTGATCCCAAACCCACTGATGGGACCATTGGGAGCAGGAAGAGAGGCTAGGATTTCCCATATTTTCCTCCCAACTTTCCCACATGTTGCTAACTGAAATAATGTGAATGACCAGTAGAAAAGAATTAATGTATCTGGATGCTGGTGATGGTGGTTCATTGCAGCAGAACATACAGATGCTGGTTAGAACCCCCACTTGTTCCTATGCTTGACTTCTCATGGTCTTATCTTACAATTGCTCCATGAGTAAGACCTCTGGCCATCAGTACTTGGCCCAGGTACCCCACCTGCCTTCCATTCTTCCTGGTCCCCAAGCTTCTCTCTTTTCTCATTCGTTCTTCTTTTGGTTCAGGTATCCTGCAGCTTCTTCAGTCAAGGACATCCCGAAAATTCCTAGCATGTCGTCTAACCCCAGACATGGAAACCAAGCTCCTCTTCATGACCTCCCGGGTAAGTTCACCTATTATAACAGAAGTTGCAGGCCCTAGCCGGGCTTCTTCCCTCAGCCTGCCAGTTGGTCACCAGTGCGTTAGTGACTGGTGGAATGCTCGTCAAGTGGGTGCCTCTGATCGACCTGGCATTGCCAAGAACTGGGATACAGTGTCGAATAAGGAAGAGACAATTCCAGCTCTTAATGAAGCTTCCAGCCTATCTAAAGCAGTCATGAAACTAATAACTGTAAACGAATAACGTAATTTACAAGTTTGAACTATGCTATACAAGGGTAGCGTGAGGGTGTTCATTCTGGAAAAACACGCTGTTCCTCTGGGAGAACCATTAGCTCTCAGGAAGGGAGCTCTGGACCTTTGGTTTCCCAAGATGGCTGACTCATGGCAGAATTGCTTGAGGAGCACCTGAAAAATACATTTCCCTGGATCTTACCCTCCCAGAGAATCGGAAGAATCTGCATTTCTAACAGAATTTCTAAGCAACAGCTCCTCTGTAGCCAGTCTGGTGTTGGGCAACAACTGGTCTAGGCAACTTTCCGTTTCCCAAATTACCCAGGAGAACTGACTTGACCTGTGCTGTCCCATGTGGTAGCCACTGGCCATGTGTTGTGATTTAAATAGTTAAAACTGAATAAAATTAAAAATTCAGTACCTCAGTTGCAGTAGCTACATTTAAAGTGTTCAGTAGCCACCATCATTGCAGGAAGTTTTATTGGACAACGTTGGTCTAGATTTTTTGTGTGTGTTTTTAACCCTTCTGCTCTCTGGTTTGGTTGAATTTGGGGAATAGAAGAGGAAAACCAGCTCTTTCTCCTTAATTAGTGTTGCTCTTTGTAACCACATTCAATCTATTTGGGGGTAGGACTTAAGTGCAGGAAGATTTGGAGGTTCCATGTACCTTGGATAATGATCCTATTAGGTCAGTTAGTGTCAGAAAGCTTTGAGTCGTTGCTGAGTGCTGAATAGGCTCAGCTCTTGTTCTCGAGGAACATTGCTTGCTGTTCACAAGTAGCTGTAGAAAATAAAAGATTATGCTTATGACTGTAAGATCAGTGACTAGTATAGGAGTAAGGAGTCAAAAGTGGACTGCAGTTGCAGATAATGCAACATCAGGTCAGTGGCAAGAATGAATGCACCACTGGCATGCAACTTTTAGCATTTATTTAGAAATAAGGAATATTGCCCTGGCTGGTGTGGCGAAGTTGGTTGGAGTGTTGTCCCATACACCAGTAGGTTGTGGTTTTGATCCCTGGCCACGGGGCACATATGGGAGGCAGTCAAACAGTGTTTCTTTCTTTTTCTTTCTCTCTCTCTCATCAATAAACATTTTTTTAAAAATCTTTTAAATAAAAAATATAGCCCAGGCTGGTGTGGCTCAGTGGATTGAGTGCCGGCCTGCAAAACAAAGGGTTGCTGGTTCAATTCCCAGTCAGGGCGCATGTCTGGGTTGCGGGCCAGGTCCCTGGCAGGGGACACTTGAGACACAACCACACATGGATGTTTCTCTCCACCTCTTTCTCCCTCCCTTCCCCTCTCTAAAAATAGATAAATAAAAATGTTTTAAGTAAATAAATAATAAAAATAAAAACGAGGAATATTTAAATCAGGAAGTCTTCCCAAAGGAGGAGAGACTTGAAAGACAGTATTAGATGATGAATAAGTTATGGGAAGAAATTGAGGTCTAGGTCAAGCCTTGAGTTGAATGGTGCTCATTTTCCTTTGCCCAGAGACCCCACCCTCCCTTCCACGTTTTCCTTTCCAACATCCCCTTCCCGCAGGTGCGGTTTGGTCAACAAAAGCGATACCAGGACTGGTTCCAGCGCCAGTACCTCTCAACTCCAGACAGTCAGTCTCTGCGCTGTGACCTCATTCGCTACATCTGTGGGGTGGTTCACCCTTCTAATGAAGTTCTGAGTTCAGATATCTTGCCCCGTTGGGCCATCATTGGTTGGTTGCTGACAACATGCACGGTGAGAGGCTGGACTATGGAGGCTATTGGGTGGCAGAGGGTCCCTTTTTCCTCATGTTCCTCATATTTCCATGCTTCTTTCTGACTCTCTAAGCCCCCAACCCCAGATGGCCCCCTTTCACTCTGCTTCCTGAATGTCTCAGCCTTGCCCCCCACCCCTTCGTGTCTGTAGAAATTTACTTGCACTCATTATTTCCCATCTGGGTTTGGGGTTGAACAGGTTCATCTATGCCTTTACTGCCAGTCCGCAAGCCTGGGTTTCTAAGCATCCCTGCCTCTAGAAATCACATATGGCTAGTCCTTTCTCAGATCCAGAGCTCGTGCTCCTCAGACCCTCACTTCCATGCCTTTTGGGATCGGCTTTGGATCTCTCTTCTCCTAAAGTAGTGAATTCACAGTGGAGCCATCTCCTTCCCAGCATTTTCCTCCTGTGCCCAGGGTGGGACACTATATTCCATGGCATTTAGTTGCCCTCTCACCTCTTTTGACAGGGCTTCTACTCCCCCATCTGATGACTGGGTCCTTGGAATGTGCTGATTCAGATATAACAGCAGGCTGTTCCTACAGGTCACTCCTTTAGGAATGTGCCTGCAGAGTCCAAGGGCTCAGACTACTGCTGTCCCAGCTCAGGGATGACCAGGGTCTCCCAGGCCCAGGTGCCCTCCCTTATGGGATCAGGGTGTGTTCCACTGGTGGTGAGACCCCAGGTGAGCCCCAGCCCCTGGGTTGGTGAGACCACAGGTTACTCACACTCCTGTATGGACTTGCGTGTCCCTCACCCCTGTGGTGGTTCCATCTTGTCTCATAGGAACTGAGTTTCATAGACAGAGCAGTATTGTGGGCCCGGGAATCTGTCTTGGGGTTCTGAAGGGAAGGGAGCTGTTTGATGAAGCTAGCCCTCTTTTTTTCCCCCCTCTCTTCCAGTCAAATGTCGCTGCCTCTAATGCCAAGCTGGCTTTGTTTTACGACTGGCTGTTCTTTAGCCCCGACAAGGATAGCATTATGAACATAGGTATGTGACTGAGACCCGGCAGGGCCACCCTCCCCCCCCCAACCCCTCTCACCCCTGGGTCTTGGTGATAGCTGTCATAAATCACAGGGCAGCCTGGGCTGGAGGCAGCTTATCTGGGAGCAGTTCCGTTGTTCCTCATCAGTGTTCCCTTGACCTAGAAGGAAAGTTGCTTTGATGAGGCCAAGCAGTACTCCACCCTCTTTTCCCTGTAGGCTGATGCTTGGACTTCAGGATGGGGCGGGGGGTTCTCTGCAGAGGAAAAGGCTGTATTGCATCCTGCTACCTCCCTCCTCCAAGCTGAGTACTGGGGACCAGAGGGGAGATGAGGCCTACCAGCTCTTTGAGGGGTTGTCTGCCTTTGAATCTGCTCAGTAGGAGTAGGGGGCAGGGATAGACCCAGCTCCCTGGAGCCATTCATATATATTGATCACTTGGTCTATAGTGCTGAGAACAGACTATCTGATATGGGGGCCCTTTTAATTCCATGTTCTCCAGAGCCAGCCATCCTGGTTATGCATCACTCCATGAAGCCCCATCCAGCCATCACTGCCACACTCCTGGACTTCATGTGTCGCGTAAGTGCTGTTGCTGTCTTCTCATGCCTGGCTGAGCAGAGTTAAGTGTATGTCCCCTCTAACCTTCTAGGTCACTGAATAGGTCTTCCCAATGCCCCTTGTCTGTGGGAGGAGAAGTAGTAGTAGTTCCCATCCCCCCAAGTTAGTGAATGCTTCTCTTATTTCCACCATCTCCAGTTGGGTCTTTCCATGTCTCTGTGAGGTTTCTCAACCTCAGGGATGATGACTTAACGTAGAATCTAGTCTCCTTGAAGAGCAGCCAGGTCCAGTAAGTTTCCCATATTAGCAGCCTGGAATGGTCAGAAACATTCCAGCCCTTTCTGCAGCCATACTGTCGTGTCCCCCCAGCAAAAGGAGAGCAGCTTGTGTTTTCTTTGGCAGCGCATACACTAAAATTGGAACTACACAGAGAAGAGTAACATGTCCCCTGTGTAGGGACGACTCCCAAGCTCATGAAGCATTCCAGTATTTTTAGATCTAGTTCAGCAGGACACTCCAGGTGGAAAGCCCCGTACTCATTCTCTGCACCCCTTCTTCCCTTCTAGATCATCCCCAACTTCTATCCACCACTGGAGGGCCATGTGCGACAGGGTGTTTTTTCTTCCCTCAACCACATTGTGGAGAAACGGGTCTTGGCGTAAGGACTGTTGGAGTCTGTGGGCAGAGGGAAGGGTTGTTGTCCCTTTTTCCCTAGGTCAGGCACATCCAGATACTGCCATACCACCACTGACCCTTTACCTTGAGAGGTATAAAAAGTACTGGCTCTACCTCAAACAGCTAGGCATATGTTCTCTTGACTCTTAGAGCTCTCTCTCCTGCCCTAATACAAAGGATTTCAAATGCCTTCCCTGTCCCCTTACTACCCTTTCCAAGGATCTGAGGGTAGCCCAGTTATACTTGTTGGGCTTAGACCTTTATCTCCATGTTGAGTTAGAAGTGAGGAGCTCTGATGTTGATTTCCATTCATGTTCCCCATTAGGCATCTGGCTCCCCTGTTTGACAACCCTAAATTGGATAAGGAGCTGCGGGCGATGCTGAGAGAGAAATTTCCTGAGTTCTGCAGTTCGCCCAGCCCACCTGTGGAAGGTATGGAACGCTCCCATTTCATCACCTGCGTCAAAAGATGGAGACATTCAGAGCTCTCAGGCTAGAGCCCCTGTTTAGGGATCATCCCTGGGCAGCTGTCAACCTCTGTGACATCCGACATTTGTTTTTCCTTCACCTGTTCTCTTCTTACTCATTTTTATGTTGTCTTCCTGGCTCTCCCTCTCCTTGTGGTCTTATCTGACTTGTGCTAATCTCTTTTGCTCTCTTAACTCTTATTTTTCCTCTATTAACCTGCCTTCGATAGGTAGAGATGTTCATGGAATGTGTTTACCTTACTTGAACCTTGTCCACCTCTTCTCTTCCCAGGCCAGGGCCCTGGCCTTGGGGAAAGATTGTCACGTTGGGTCTCAAGTCTTGCTCCCAATTCCAGACACACACACTTTTTGTTTTGGGGGAGGGGTTAAGCCCAGCAAATACTTCCCAATTTGGTTTTAAATTAAAGAGCACTTGGGACTGTCCTTGGTCTTATCTACACACTGATCCTGAGCTGAGCATAGAGAAGTCATGACCTGTGCTGTTTTATTCCTGGCAGAATCTCCCCACAAGTCCTGGAGGGTTGGGAGGATAAGACCTTTATCCTTCCAGGGTCCGTATTCCATTTAGGTCATGAACTGTTTATTCTCTCACTTGCCCTTCAGTCCTCCTCTCTAAACGTGGGGCATGTTAGAGGACACAGGAGATCATTAAATGTCTTGTTTTTTTTTCCCAAGTCAAAATTGAGGAGCCAGTTTCCATGGAGATGGACAACCATATGTCAGACAAGGATGAGAGTTGCTATGACAACGCAGAGGCAGCTTTCAGTGATGATGAGGAGGATCTCAACAGCAAAGGTGAGGCCAGAAGCAAGAGTAGTTCAGGGTGTGTCAACTTCGGAGGACCCGACTGGCAGGAGCAGCCTCTCTGTGGCTTCTCTATCCCCTTTGCCTCTCTGAGTTTTGTTAACAGGGATACTGGCTGAGACACCAAGGTGCCAAGCCCTGCACTTAGCACTGAAGCAGGAGGGAAAAAGAGTGAAGTGGTCTCTGGCCTTATTTCCTCCTCGGGGCTAGGGCATGCACACCTTCAGGGAAGTGGTTCAGACACTCAGTAGCACTGAGTGCACATGTGAGGAAGGACAGATTGTTCAGGGGGACGGTCTCTGTTGCTGGTGTCTAGGCAAAGTGACACTTTCCCCCACATCACTTCCTTCAGGAAAGAAGAGAGAGTTTCGCTTCCATCCTATCAAGGAGACAGTTGTGGAGGAGCCAGTTGATATCACCCCTTACCTTGACCAGCTGGATGAGTCCCTAAGGGACAAAGTGCTCCAGCTACAGAAGGGCAGGTAGGTGCACCCCCCCCCGCCCCCGTTCTGAGCCCTGGGGCATCCTGCCCCAGCCTCTCTCTCGGGTGCTTAGTGGGGTGGTAGGATAGTGGTGTTGGAAGGGCTATGGTAAGTCTATGGAGAAGTAGTTGGAGCTACATGAAAGGTACCTTCTGCAAATTTATGTACAGGAGTATGGACTTCGCATGGGGCAGCCTCGTTCCTCAGCACCCTGGCCCCCCACTGTATATTCTCACTCTGCATGTTCTGAGCCTCTGAGTTTTGAAGCAGGGCTATAGAGATTTCTCTTCTCTATGGGCCTCTGCCCAGAGAGCAGCAGAATCTGCCCCAAGCCTCCCCACACGAGTCTGGATTTACACAGAGCTCCTTTGTTTTGTCTCCATGTGTGTGAGTGTGCTTGCTGCTCTGGGTGTGTGTCCTGCCCTCTGCTATCATTGACGTCCCTGAGATTTCCTCTCACTTCCGCACTGCAGTGATACAGAGGCCCAGTGTGAGGTCATGCAGGAAATTGTGGACCAGGTCCTGGAGGTAAGAAGGAACCCATCTCTTTAGAAAGGAAGCAGCCCAGCCTGCCCAGCTCTGAGCTTCTCTGGAAACTGACTCTCCCCTTTCTGTCGCCCAGTGGTCCCTTCTGCTGGGCGGAAGGACTGGTCAATCCTGGAGGTGGCCGCGGATGGGTCTGGGTAGTGCGGGCAGTAAGGCTCGGACCTGGTGGTGATAACTCCCTCCCTTGTCTCACTATCCAGGAAGACTTTGACTCGGAGCAGCTGTCCGTGCTTGCGTCCTGCCTACAGGAGCTCTTCAAGGCCCATTTCCGAGGGGAGGTGCTGCCCGAGGAGGTCACAGAGGAGTAAGACTTGTCTTTCTGACCCTCTAGGCCTTTGGGAGCCAGAAGTGTGCCCTAATAGCCTCAGTCCAAGAGGCACCTTGCTGAGGACCTGAGAAAAATAATGTGTTCGATTGATTTTATTCTCACATGTACTTACTCATTTGCACAAGGATTTATTTTTGCCTGCTGAGAGCTAAGTGTACTGGGGCAGTGGACTAGCACCCCATCCTGTGTGCCCCACCCCCGCTCCTGTGCCCGGCAGCCCTTCAGGTGTGATTGGACCCTTTCCTGGATCCTCCCTGAAGGGTGGGAATCTTGCTTTCAGTGACGATGACAACCCAGATGTAGTTTTCTCTGTGACCAAGCCTCTAGAGCAGCAGGGTGTTTACTTTTAGTTAGGAAAGGAGCAGGCTGGCATCTTGCCCCAAGCTGGTCCTCCACAACAGCTGCCTGCAGCCCACCCTCTCCGCTCACCTGGACTCTCATATATCACCTTCCTCTTGTAGGTCCCTGGAGGAATCTGTGGGGAAGCCCCTCTACCTAATATTTAGGTAAGTATCGAACTGTAGGAGGCACTGCTGTGCCATCCATCCATAGCACACATGAGCTTCCTTCCTGGTAATGGGACCCCCTTTCCAGGAAGGAAGGCATATACAGTGGGCACAAATAAACTGTGCCTCCTCAGGCTCCATAGGAGAATCTGCCCTAGATAAAGCTCTGCTCCCTTCCTCCCATCTCCCACCTCCAGGAACCTATGCCAGATGCAGGAAGACAACAGCAGCTTCTCGCTGCTTCTGGACCTTCTCTCCGAGCTATATCAGAAGCAGCCCAAGATTGGCTACCACCTACTTTACTACCTGCGGGCCAGGTGGGTACGGCCCCCACATGGAGGAGGGCCAGGCATTCTGGAGAGCCTCTCTCCGAGCGCACGCTGGTCCCTCCCCCTTGCCTGTCACCGCCAGGGCCTTCCATGTGTTTTCTTTTTTAAAAAACTAACAGCTTTAAAATGTACAATTCAGTGGTTTAGTATATTCACAGAGTTGTACTACCGTCTGATTCCAAACCTTTTTATCACCCTAAAAAGAAACCCGTATCCTTTGGCAGTCATTTCCCATTCTCCCTTTTACCCAGCTCTGTTAACCACTGATTTGCTTTCTGTCTGTAGATTTACTTATTCTGGATATTTCATATAAATGGGATCATACAGTGTGTGATTTTTCATGCCTGGTTTTTTTTCACTTAGCATAATGTTTTCAAGGTTTATCCCATGGCAGCATGAATCAGTGCTTGTTCCTTTTTTATGGCTGAATAATACCCCACTGTATGGATATAGCACATTTTGTGTTACTCATTCATTCAGTGATGGACATTTCAGTCATTTCCACTTTGTTGTTGTGAACAGAGCTGTTGTGAACATTCATGTACAAATTTGTGGGTCGACAATGTTTCCCATTTTCCTGGGTATGTGCCTAGGAATGGAATTGCTGAGTCAAATGATAACTATTTTTAAATTTGTGAGGTACTGTCAAACTATTTTCCAAAGTGACTGCAACGATTTTACGTTCCCACCAGCAGTGTGTGAGTTCTAATTTCTCCACATGCTCCCCAATTCTTATTGTATGGCTTTTTGATTATAGCCATACTAATAGGTGTGAAGTGGTGTCTCATTGTGGTTTTGATTTGCATTTTTCTGATGACTAGTGATGTTGAATATCTTTTCATGTACTTATTGGGCATTTGCATATTTTCTTTGGAGAAATGTCCAAATTCATTCCTATTTTTAAAATTGGGTTATTTGTCCTCTTTTTCATTGATTCTTAAGAGTTCTCTATATATTCTGAATACAAATTCCTTATCAGAAATATGGTTTGCAAATATTTTCTCCCATTCTGTGAGCTATCTTTTCACTGTATGGCATCCTTTGAAACACAAAAGTTTTAAATTTTGATGAAGTCCATTTTATTTTTTCTTTTGTCACTTGTGCTTTTGGTATCATGAAGATTTATGCTTACGGCTCTGGATGGTGTGGCTCAGTGGATTGAGCACTGGCCTGAGAACTGAAAGGTGGCTGGTTCTTTCCAGTCAGGGCACATGTCTGGGTTGAGAGCCAGGTCCCCCATTAGGAGTGAGTGTGAGGCAACCAATTTATCAATGTTTCTCTCCCTCTCTTCCTCCCTCTCTTCTCTCTCTAAAAGTAAATAAATAAAATCTTAAA